TATTATTACTGATGTTATTGTTATTGTTGTTCCCATTTCTCGGCGACAATATGTTGGACTGACTTCTGGCCAAACCTTTAGTGAACGCCATATTGTTTTTGTGGTTTTTATTGCTATTATTATTATTGTTGTTGTTATTAGTATCGCAATTGCGGACACTCTTCGCCCGCGAACTGTTCGTCTCTCTGGCGAACGACTTGTTCATCACCGGAACGGTTCCCTTAACCTCTTGTTTACGATTACTATTATTAGTGTTTTGATTGCTATTAACGTTACGATTATTATTATTACTATTAATTAACTGATTATTAGTTTTGTTATTATTATGATTATTAATAAAAGACAAATCGGGTGTCGAGACAACTGTGCGCTTAAGACTCCCGGCATTGTTAGCTAATGAACCGCTCTTTGGCGGCGAAACGGGTTGAGTGGCCACTGGTTTGACAGCCACTGTCGGCGCGGGAACCGCTGGCGAAGCCGAGGCCACAGACCTTTTGTTAGAAACTGTGGGAGCAGTAGCGGCACCGTTAAGAGCCTGTCCTGGCTTTGTCTGAGCTGCCGGTGCTGTAGTAGTAGTGATGGTAGTAATGGCCGCCACCGCCGGCGATAGTGTGGCCGATGACACACTTTTCAGCTGCTGTTTCGGCTGCGGATGCGATGATATGGTAGTACTCGACGGCGCCATTGGATGTAATCGCGATTTGAATGTCTGCGCCAACGGACTGTCGGATGAGATAATCAATGGTTAAAAGATAGTCAATAAAAGTCACCATAAAAATCAATTAACAATACTTTAACGGCTTTGACGGACAGCTAGTGGTGATCGTATTGAGTGTCGGTGTGGACACTGAGGACTTGATGGTGGCTTTGGCCGTAACCACAGGCCTGTCTGCCAACACTTTTATCCCACCGTCGATACTAACGGTACGCTCTTTGGCGGCAACGGGTGGGCGCTCTTCAGCGCTATCCGACGTCACCGATCCGTCGCTACCGATAGAGTCCACGTCTTTATCAGTGTCTTTAAGCACCGGTTTGGGGGAACTGTTCTCCTTCTCGCTGCCGCTGTCGCTGACCATCGACTCATTGGCACTCTTCACGTGACTATCAATCGGCGGATCAGTAGATAGCTTTTGGGGCGAACTCTGGTCACCA